GCTTTATTGTTCGAAGCGAGGTCGCGTAGCTTTAGACTACATAATTGTTTTGAAATGAGAGCGCACTACTTAGACGCGGACTGAAAGACAGGGACAAGGTCTTGTTTCTGTCTCTCTGTCCGCGTCTAAGTAGTGCGCTCTCACTTCAAAACAATCGTGTATTACCAACTTACCCAATAAATCATGTGTAGAGTGCTTAGACATAAAGCGAAGCTCAATAAAGAGGAAGAACAGTGAGTTTCAACGAAGAGGAAGAATAATGTACACGCTGTAGGGAAGCTAAGAAAATGATGGAACATGTTTTGATCAAATGCAGCGATAATCACCCTGGTATACGTGTGGGTACAACCTTACATGATGCTTTGAGTTTTAGGGACAAACATGAAAAGCTGAACACGTCTGTGATCGAAGCATGTACGAGACAGTTAGAGTATTGGTCGCAGAAAAGAAGGAATAAAGAACTGAAGTTGTGAGAAAGTAAGGACAGTCTGCCTTAAAAGGTAGAGATGTAACATAAATGTTTTTTCTTGCTATAAGATCGATTTATTCGAACTAGATATTACGCCAACATAAAAAGAAAGTTATCTTTTCATTTTTCCTTGTGAGCCTGGTCCCACGCATGTCGCCACCCTGTTATGAAGGAGACGCTCACAGCATCTGTCCGTCCGTCCGTCCGTCCATCCATCCATCCATACATTCACACATGCATGCATGCATGCATGCATGCATGCATGCAAGACCCAGCTGAAGAAGCTTTGGACACAGCTGTTGAAGCGACAAAGTGTTCTGAGATAAAAAGTGAACGTATATTGTAAATTGTGTCCAAGTTGGGCGTATAGTCTCAGCAGCGCGTGTCCGAAAGTTCACGCTGCTTTTCATCTCGAAAAGACTTATATGAGCAATAATGGCCACGTGTTATGACAGCTTTCAGCGCTGTATAAGCTTGAGATTTACTTCCACCGAAACGAATGCTTGAAAACTGAAGACCGGCAGCGTTAAAGTACGTGTCCAACAAACTGATAACATTCCCCGACGTTTCAGACGGACCGCGATGGAGCGGAGTCACCGTCTAATGGCCACTGGCTGAAGCGAACCTATAGTGTGGTGTGTATTGCTACCTGCGTCGTCTGCTAGTCACATAAGGCTGGTACGTGTGGTCATTTGCGTCGTCGAAGGGTGGTTCTTTCCGTTCTATTGAACCAAGTTTAACTTTTTTAGAGACACGTGTGACTTTGCTCTGCTGTATATGCACTGCCTGCAATAGGATCAGTTCGGGCACATGCCGAAAGTGCTGCATATCGTCGTCGTACTCTCCATTGGCCAAGAGGTGTAGGTGGTGCTCTTTACTGAAAGCACACATTAACGTGCACTTGGCATCGTCCCAAGCTGGAGGAATATTAAATATTGTGTGAATGCAGCGTTTCAGCGACTCAGTGGTAAATGAAGTTTTGCAATGTTGTTAGGTATCTAAGGGCCCTGTTACATGTCCAACGAGTTTTATTAATGTCAGTGAGAACTCTTTGTTGTACGGTTATCGTTTCACTGCAGCAAAATAGTTCTGCCTAGTAGATTCTGCACTTTGGTACATAAATTGCCCCTTGAAAATAACAAAAAAATGGGCCACTCGTGCGTCGGGGTTGTTTTTACCTACGGGCATCGCTGAAAAAGAAATGTATGAAATATTTCCACGGGAGGCGTACATTGCTTCAAGCCTTCAGCACACGCAATGAAAAAAGTTTCGAAGTACTCATTCTTAATTTCACATATGTCGAAGGTGGTTAGCGTTGGCATGGCTAACAGATTTTAAAAATATACATACGTGTATTAGTAATGGCATCAAAATCAATTGTTTCACGGCAATTATGTGCGCGTCAGCAGTGAACTGGCTGAAATTTACCGCTTTTTTCAAATAAGCTCGATATAGCGTAGGCTAACAATTTTTTACTTGAGCTCCGTAGTCTCCGTACTGCTGACCGAGCTTAAACTTTTCGAACTCTTTATTAAATATAAAGATATGACGTCATAGGCAAATCGATTTTATTGTGTGGATTGATTTGCTCCAGTTTTTCCTGTTATTTATTTAGGCGAAAGCTGCAGCTGTTTCATCAAACACGGATATTAACTACGGGCGCCCTGTGTCATCAGAACGAGTGATGCAAAAAATCATGGCGTGATGATGTCACAGGTGGATAAAGTTTGTGAAGTCATCAGGACGCCATATGGCGTGTGTTATATGATTAGGCCATCGCCTCATCAGAAGGAACCATGAAGGCAAAGCAACTATTAATATGGATAGGATAGCTAAAATAACGGTGGGGTTCTGCAGAGATCTGTACAATAACCGGTATAACCTCGACCATAATAAAAAAACTAGCGGTAAACCAGAAGCCATCCCACCAGTAATGACAGAAGAAGTCAGAAAAACCTTGGAAATGCAAAGAGGTAAAGCTGCTGGTTAGAATCAGGTAACATCAGACGTGCTGAAACACGGAGGACAGATCATCTTAGAAAAACTTGCTACACCTTTTACGAAGTTCTCCTAACGGGTCGGGTACCACAATCTTAGAAGGTTGCTAACCTCATCGTAATCCATAAAAAATTGGACTGCAAAAACTTGAAGAATTACAAGCCGATCAGCTTCTCTCGTTCGTATACAAGCTATTCACAAGGCTAATTGCTCACAGAATCAAGATAAAAGTATCATTAAATCAACCAAAGCAACAAGCAGGATCTCTAATAGACTATTCACAAATCGACCACATTCAGGCTATCAATCAGGTGATAGAGGAATGCTCAGAATACAACTAACCACATTACATAGCCTTCACTAGTACGAGAAGGCGTTTGATTCAGTATAGAGATATCAGCAGTCAGGCCGACACTGTGGAATCAGTGTGTCGACGATACAATATAAACATCCTGGATAAAATCCACAAGGATCAACTGTCACTATAGTGCTGCATAAAAAAGTGACACAATACCAATAAAGAAGGGTCTAAGACAACTGGATACAATCTTCGCAATGCTATTTACCGTGCACGTACAGGGGGTTTTCAGTGACCCAGAAGGAGAATAGCTAGAGATAAGAGTAATGGAAAGTACCTTAGTAATCTGCGCTTCGCCAATGACATTGCATTGGTGAGAAACTCAGGGGACGAACTGCAATTCATGATTACTCAATTAGACAGGAAGAGCAGAAAAGTAGGTCCTTAAACTAATCTGCAGCAAGCGAAAGGATTATGACAACCTTGGAAGAGAACAGTGCTTTGATATAGATAGCAGTGCACTTGAAGTTGTAAAAAAATACGCATTTCTAATTAGGACAGGTAAATGCCGTGGAGCCAAACCAAGAGATTGAAATAACTAGAAGAATAAGAATGGTGTGGAGCACATTTGAAAAACACTTTAAAATAATGTCTGGTAGAATGCCACTATACCTCAAGAGGGAAGGAATATACCAGCTGCATCTTGCCGGTACTTAGCTGTGAAGCAGAAACCTGGAGGCTTACAAAGAGGGTTCAGCTTAAATTGAGAACTACACAGCGAGCGATTGAAAAAAAATGATAGCTGTAACCTGAAGAGAAAAAAGGAAAGCAGAGTGGATTAGGGAACAAACCATGATTGAGGATTTCATAGTTGAAGTGAAGAAGGGGAAATAGACATAGACCGGGCATGTAGCGCGCAGGCCGGATAGCCGCTGGTCAATAAGGTTAACTGACTGAATTGCCAGAGAAGGCAAGCGATTGAGCGGGAGACATAAAGTTAGTTGGGCAGATAAGAAGAGGAAGTTTGCGGGTAGAAAGTGGCAGCACCAAGCAAAGTGCAGAGTTGAGTGGAGGAACATGCGAGATGCCTTTGTACTGTAGTGGGCATAGTAAGGCTGATGATGATGATGATGATATTACTGCAAGGTTGAGTAACAGCGGCTGAAATATCAAGCGCTTGGCAGACGCCCGGCGCTTGGACGCGGCTTCCACAGCGGAGAAAGCCTCGCGGAGGACGTGACACGGAAGTTCAACGCTAAATGCTTCCTCTACTCTCATGTTCTCGCACGGTGCTTTGGACACTTCCCCTATTCTACGTCACTCTAGCCGCAGAGAAACACGCTGCGCGCCCACCATCTCCAAGGCCACAATTGCAAGTTGCATAGTCAGCGAGGCCGCCGCTGAAGATCACCACGGCTTCGCACTCTCATTCGCGGTCACACTCTAAATAAGGGACGAGTTTGAAGAGACAGAAAAGCACAAAGGAAAAGTGCTAAAGGGCAATGAAATGCATGTGACGTAGCTTCTTTTTCTCTTGCCATCCTTCCCATCCTAGTTTTTAGCAGGCTTGTAGGGAGAGAGGACACAGAAAGCAATTACAGGGTGCCACCTATTGCTCAGCGTACTCGACCGATTCCAAAAAAATTGCGCGGCCGTCGATTGGTGAGGCAATCGACATCTTGAATAATACCATTAGGTGGTAACTTCTGACACTGTATACCAGAAACACATTACAAAATCAAAAGGTGGCGAAATGTTCCCGTAAAAAAAGCAGCGTCATGTAGATTCTAAATGACGATAATCAGACTTATAACGGCAATATGAGCATACAGACGTCAGAAAAGATGAATATTGGTCACTTAGAAGGACAGAATGAATACCAAGGCAGCAGAGACGCCGCTCAACACACTGGAGTTAGCTAAGTTATGCTTTGAAATTTCGCAGGCATTAGTTGTATACAGCACTTGAAGACAGGTGAAATAAGATATCACGTGCACAGGCCTTGTAGACACAAAGTATGCTGAGTAGGACAATAACTATGATGATGAGCATGCTGAAAAGCTTAAGGCTGATCCAAGTGCCTGTTTGCAATGCTAAAAAACGCTTTCTTCTCCCTGAAGCTCTTGTTCACTGTGATTCTAACATGAAAACGCGTACATAGTCAACATAATCGACTGCCTCTATTGTAACCTGGATTTCCCTACAATCGAAGTTTTCCTCTAAACATGAACTTACCTGCAGATGGCCTTTTGAATTTCGTCTGCGCCTCGCCGTGCCGCTCGTCGTAATGCAATGGTGAATCCAAGACGTGAAAACTTTTGCTCGGTGCAGTTAATTATCTGTTCGGCTTGACACTCGTCACGCATACCTTGTCCACCTAGAAATTGCGTTGAAGAATAACGAAATTGCTCAGTTAGAACTAGTGCAACAGTGAATCGTTATTCATTTTTCAAGAATATATGCGAACAAGTGCCTCAGTCACAACATTAAATGAATGTCTAACAAAGATGGAATGGTAAAATCGCAACCTTTAAAACATAACATCGATTGAATCACTGTATATGAAATTTGGGAGTCATTCCACTACAAGAAGGCGGATGAAAATTTAGTCTTCTAAATATAATAAGTGTTTCGCTCATAGGTTTTTTAAAATAGGATGACAAGTAACGCTTGAGTGCATAGCGGACAACTTCGAGAGGGTGCAGCTCACGTGAAATCCCTTTCTTCACTATAAATATAGCTAGTAGACCGCACAACCGGTACTACCTGTGCCTCAAAACTTCACGCCTTCAGAGAGCTGCTGAACTGCGCCGGAACAATGCCTTCCTACTTTACCAGTTATAGATAAGAGGGCTTTTTATTCGTTAATTTGTGGAACCTTATAAGATTGTGATGGTGCTTGTGGCCAAAGGTCAAGCTAAAAAAAAACGTTACCTCACATAGGCTTCTAGCACCATGCATGCATTCATCGCGCATATACTCAAATGCGCGAGGTAAATATTTTAGAATAAGTACTAGAACTCATAGTAGAAATGACTGCAGACAGAGGTGGAATTCCATCACATAAAAATGTGACTAGAACTTAGAACAACTGAAATCATATACAGTATTAATAGAGCATTAAGGTATACACAAGCAATAGCACAAAACAGAATTACTGAGCTCCTTACTGATCAATCGCATTGGAATTATTTAACACAAATTGCAACTCCTAAATAAGGAAATAAGTAAGAAATACCAGAATGAAGCTCTGTATGAATAAACAAGAAAATTGTTGTTTACGAGCACCATAATCAATAAAATATTTTTTGAATGGCTGATGGCTGTCAGCGCGAAATATGCAGTAATGCACATTAATAAATCTATGGGAGTATTGAAAACCTCTACAGTATTCTAACTACACTCTAAATTAGGTGCCGGATAACGAACGGCACATAGCCAGTGCGCTCCTGCATACTGACTAAAATCCTGTCTATAGGGAGCCCAACAATAAAAAATACCCGTGACATTCACGCAACATGGAAGTCACGCATACAGCCGGGAAGAGCAGGCGTAAGAAGAAAACAAAAAGAAAAAAATGGAAAGAGCCGCCGTCTCCATCGCACCAGCCTGGCGCCAGGAGCCGGCATCAACTCACGCAGAACCGTTTAGCACAGACGTGAGTGCGGAAAAAAAAGAGAAACGCCCCCCTCCCCCTTCTGCCGTCGCCACGCCAGCTGGGCACCCGGCGCTGGCGTGACGTTCACCGTCGCCTCTATGCCTTGGCTTTTGTGCCTCGCTGTTTCGTCCCGCTGTCTTGTGATGGTGGTTTCTCTACAAATGGTCTAAGAGGGAAATATTTTCCAGTGCTATGTGGCACACTTTATTCAAGATATCATACATCTCTCTGCATTTGGGCATACACTGGGATGTGCACTCCTATTGTTACTCTTTTGACTTCATTAAAAGAGTATAAACAACTTTCCGTTCATCAGTTGTCGAGGTATGACACTGTGTCATGCACTAAATATAAAAGTAATAGTGCATGCGTGACAGCTTTCTGAAACACTGGCCTATGTATGTTGATGCTCATGTTACAAGCTGTACTCATGATTTTAGGAAATCATGGCAAAAAATAAACAACCGGAAGGCCGCGAGACAGAAAAAATATCAGAATTGAAAATATATCGATCGATCTTTGATTAGTGGTTGCGTAATTTGATGATGAACGTCAAGTACAGAAGTCATAAGTTTGGTGCAGAAGTCAGCAGGAGAGCCTCGTCGCGGTGATATAGTGGCTAAGGTACTCGGCTGCTGACCAGCAGGTCGCAGGTTCAAATCCCAGCGGCGGCGGCGGCTGCATTTCCGATGAAGGCGGAATTGTTGTAGGCCTGTGTTTTCATATTTGGGTGCACGTTAAAGAACCCCCAGGTGGTCGAAATGTCCAGAGCCTTCACTACGGTGTCTCTAATAATCATATGGTGGTTTTGGAGGTTAAACCCCACACATCAATCAATCAGTAAAGGTCAGCAGGAGAGTGTATGTCACCGACATTTGCTTACCCTTTTGAATATTAGGTGCACTTCTCATATTCCAGCAAGAATTTGTAACAGTGAACCACGGCCACGAAAACCAGTGTACTGCTGTGGAGATACTGTACCCGCTATAAAAATCTCCATTTTCTAAATAGAAACTGATAGCAGTAAGAATAAATATTTTGAGGTTCGTTCTGCACAAATTCTTGACTCCAACTGCACGCCAACGTTCGCGAAAGAGATGTGCAGAGGGATTATTTATTTGGAGGAAGACCGACCTGTCCGTCGCTAATTTGTGTACGTCATACTTGACCTTGGCGCGCGTTTCGGCATTCTCTTGAACAGGGATGTGATGCTGAATAAAGGTAAGAGTAGCCACTCCCAATAAATAACATCAGTTAACGACTGCAAAATAGTAAAAAGCACTCTATATAGCAAAATAATGCGCATAAATTCTAATTGAGGAAATAACTAATTGGTAAAATGCTAAAAAGGTGTCCTACCCCAGCATGCAGCTCATGGCAGTTCGCGCGTACGAAATGAAAATATTAGATTAGGCATGCTAAAATACCCATGCGACGTTTACGTGCGAAAGCGCATTGTCTTCAAACAGCTGGGAATAGGCTGCTGTCACTGACACGCGTGTACCTCCCGACAAAAATCAGCCAAATTGCTCGCAGTACAGCACGTGCAAGAAACATACGCAGGTTCCGACAGCCGAACGCAGCCTCGTCCACGAATTTCTGTGAATGTAACACCTGCAGTTCACGGGGAAGCACTAAAACGACGCACAAACACACGGTAATCGTTCTTGCGGAACGGCGCACCATGAACCGAAGCCGGAGCCGAAAGCACTCACCGTGGTTGTCTAGAATTCATAAAGCCCTACAAACTATTCGCTGATCAAATGCATTTACATGACACAAAAACAGTTCAAGGTTCTGAAGACAGTTTGCAAAAACGCACTTAATTGGTAGATATATACACGCAAAAAGATTCGCCGTCATGCGGTGGCGCTGTGGTGCAATGGGGGATATCAAGGGAGCGTACGATAACGTGATTCAAGAGGAATTGTGGGAAATACTGGACACACTAGGCGTGAAAGTTGTAGTCACTAATGTTTTAAAGGATATTTTTAAAGGTAACAATGTAATTTTAAAGTGGAAAAAAAAGAGGTATCCAAGCCTGCAGAGGTAAAACGGGGGCTTTGGCAGGGGTGTCCTCTGTCACCCTTATTATTCATGATGTACCTACAAGGATTAGAGGCCAAATTAGAGGGAAGTGGACTGGGCTTCTACCTCTCTTTCGTCAAACAAGGAAATCTTATTTAACGGGCACTACCAGCATTGATGTACGCATATGATATAGTGCTAATGGCCGGCAAAAAGGAAGATTTGTAGAGATTGGTGGACATCTGCGGTAATGAAGGAGAGAGGTTAGAGTTCAGATTCAGTAAGGAAAAATCAGAAGTCATGATTTTTTATGACAATGGAGGTAGTGAGCTCAGAATACAGGAGGTCACGCTAAAGATAACAGATAAATACGAATATCTGGGCGTATGGATAAGCAATGGAGAAATGTACCTAAGGGAACACGAAATATACGTGACGAGTAGAGGTAACATGGAATGCAGCAGTAATGAAAAACAGGACACTGTGGACTTGCAATAGGTATGATATTGTGAGAGGAATATGGAAAGGGGTCATGGTTTTTGGTCTGACGTTCGGCAATGCGGTCTTGTGCATGAGATCAGAAGTTCAAGCAAGATTAGAAATTAAGCAACGTGGAATAGGTAGGCTTGCCTTAGGAACTCACGGGTATACACCAAATCAGGGAGTACAAGATGATATGGGATGGACATCATTTGAGGGCAGGGAAGCTAGCAGCAAGATAATATTTGAGAAGCGATTGAGAGGAATGGGGGAGGAGCGTAGGGCTAGGAAGGTATTCAGCTACTTGTACATGAATGTCGACTCAAAATGGAGGAAGTGAACCAGAAAATTGACTGGTAAATACTTAGAAAACAGCAGGGTGCCAAACCAAAAAATATTATCGGTTAAGAAGAAGGTGAAGGAAGCTGAGACCGATATGTGGAGAATTGGCATTATTAATAAATCCGCAGTAGAGAACTATCAAACGTTTAAGCAGGAAATTTCCAAGGAAAAGATCTATGATAATACTCGGTGTAGTTCTCTACTGTTTGAGGCCGTGACGGGAGTATTGCGAACCAAGACATATCGGGCCAAATACAAAGGGGCGGACACGGTATGCAGGGCGTGTGGAGAGGAAGAAGATACTGCCGAAGACTTCATAATGTTCCGTAAAGGACTTCAACTTATAGTTCAGGATGATGGCGCAGAGTTTTCGAAAGCACTGGGGTTTGGGGACAGGGAGGGCAAAATATACTTTAAGCGGGTAGAATTAACTAGAAGGATGTTATCTGATTGGTGGCTAAGGTCAAGTCATGAGTGAAAATTAAACCCTTCACTGGAAAGTACGAATCCTCAACGTCACTATTTAAAGAGAAAAAAGAAATCTAGTTTTCGTTTCATCAGGTATTACGGCTTGGTGGCGCTAGCCACCACCTGATTTAAAGGGCATAGCCTTATACACCCATCCGTCCATCCATCCATCCATCCATCCTTCCATCCATCCATCCATCCATCCATCCATCCATCCATCCATCCATCCATCCATCCATCCATCCATCCATCCATCCATCCATCCATCCATCTATCCATCCATCCATCCATCCATCCATCCATCCATCCATCCATCCATCCATCCATCCATCCATCCATCCATCCATCCATTCATAAGACATCTGCTTCCCGTGCATGCGGTCCAGAGTTCAACTCCAGGG